AGCTATCTTTTTAAAGTTACACTCGGGAATATGCATATATTGCAGCCACAAAATTATTCAGACGAAATTCAAAGTTCTTGAAACTCGGTAACCACTGAAAAATGTTGTCAAATTAGACCTAAAATGTATGTACGTTCAATAATAGTTAATTGTACAGGTAATGTTATATAACAGGTAAGAAATAAGGACATCTGTGTTTGACACGAAAGGGGCGTTAATAATGGCTCTGATGAACATATTGCGATAAAATTTAATGTTGGTTCGTATCGTTTTATTCCCCTTCGACTTCACAATTGTTGTTAAATTATTGAAGCGGGCTATTTGTAGTTCTCACTGATGAAATAAGCAAGGAAACAGTACCCAGAGTAGCTTAATAAGAGTGGATTGTGTGGGAATAATGGTCAGTTGCACCAATACATTACAACATGAAACGTGGCTTTGCTATGCCAACCATCAAGTAATAACCGCCTTTAACCGGAAAACTTACACTAACCGCCTTTAACCGGAATGTTTAAACTAACCGCATTTAACCGGAAAGTTTACACTAACAACCTTTAACCGGAATGTTTACACTAACAACCTTTAACCGGAATGTTTACACTAACAACCTTTAACCGGAATGTTTAAACTAACCGCATTTAACCGGAATGTTTACACTAACCGCCTTTAACCGGAATGTTTACACTAACAACCTTTAACCGGAATGTTTAAACTAACCGCATTTAACCGGAAAGTTTACACTAACAACCTTTAACCGGAATGTTTACACTAACAACCTTTAACCGGAATGTTTACACTAACAACCTTTAACCGGAATGTTTAAACTAACCGCATTTAACCGGAATGTTTACACTAACAACCTTTAACCGGAATGTTTACACTAACCGCCTTTAACCGGAATGTTTACACTAACCGCCTTTAACCGGAATGTTTACACTAACAACCTTTAACCGGAATGTTTAAACTAACCGCCTTTAACCGGAATGTTTACACTAACAACCTTTAACCGGAATGTTTACACTAACAACCTTTAACCGGAATGTTTACACTAACCGCCTTTAACCGGAATGTTTACACTAACAACCTTTAACCGGAATGTTTACACTAACCGCCTTTAACCGGAATGTTTACACTAACAACCTTTAACCGGAATGTTTACACTAACAACCTTTAACCGGAATGTTTACACTAACCGCATTTAACCTGAATGTTAAACTTATCACCTATTACTATTTTATGTATGACACAATTGGGAAGTTTTATGTATGGCAAAATGGGGAATTTTTATGTATGATACAATGAGGAGGTTTTATGTATGACACAATGGGGAAGTTTTATGTATGATACAATGGGGAAGTTTTATGTATGACACAATGGGGAAGTTTTATATATGACACAATGGGGAAGTGTTATGTATGACACAATGGGGAAGTTTTATGTATGACACAATGGGGAAGTTTTGTGTATGGTACAATGGGGAAGCTTTGTGTATGATACAATGGGCAGTTTTATGTATGGCACAATGGGGAAGTTTTATGTATGGCACTATGAAGTTTACATGTGGTACAAAGAAAAGTGTAATAGATAGCACTAGGTGGATGTTTTGTGCCTTTACAGTGACACCTATGTGTTTATTGGTACCAACAGACTTTTTATGATACTGATCTGTTGTCTTGCCTGTAGTTCCCACGTACCTGCCATGTAGTTAACACCCAATAGACAAATACCGTACATAACACATTCATATAACTGTTACGTCGGAGTCTATTGATTTCCCGTCCTGTTCTGTTTTCTGGGTCGCGTCTGACATACTTGAGTGTGTTTGACGGGTTGTGTAATATCAAGATAACAGGCTGTACTTTAAATATAATAGACAATCAGAAAAGTTGTTTCATTTTCTATTACTTTACCCCGACATAAATAATACAAAACAACTGGTCAAATGTGTACATTGAACAGCAGCGTAAAATTGAAATGTATTTTGATATCCGCTGATTTTCACCATAAACTTATTTCGAAATGGAACTTTCTATAGTGCCAAGATAGATTTAGCGTCTTATAAACTATACTGCCTGCAAGATGTACACAAAAAAGGTTTTCTCTCTTTAATGTTTTATGTTTGCTTTGTTGTTCGTTTTGCAGAAGGAAGGTTTTTGAAATGTCGGTTAGCTTTGTTTATTTTTGTAAAGGAAACCAGTGGAAGCCTTTGCTAATTTGCCAATCAGCTTACTAAGTATTGAGTTAATTGTGTTTGGTATTTTGCGAGTGAAGGCATGAAATCGAAAGCAATAAAACACCGAGAAATACAGATTCTTAAGTAGCAGCATGAAATACGATTCACCTCGCTTAATTGAGCATTTTCATTATTCATGAGCGTTCAGTGAACTATAGGCAGGAAAAAAACAAACACTCCAATCACCACAGCATAAAATGACAAATTTCTATCGTTTTAAATTGAATTTCCAGCGAATCCCTGAACGGGAGAGTTTTATTAGAGAAACACAAGGATTCTCGTGCGGTGATCGCGCCAGGACACAAGGCGATCAAGGAACAAATTACGGACAGAGCTCGTGAATCAGTGCTCTTATAAAACAGCCCGTAATATTAGATTTCTCTCCCAATTAAAATCGTCAAAAATTCAAATTGAGATGAAACTGTTTTCTGAAATAATTAATGTCAGTTAAATGTCGTCATTTATGAATTGAATTCAAACTACATCACAACATTCTTTTACAAAACAAATTACTCTGAACTTTACAATATTATTGTCACTAAAGATTTATCGAGACAAATTTAACTCGTTTTGAGAATTACCAGCCTCCATTTTTCTGTAGTGAAAACAAAAACCCTAAAATTCAATACGTCTACAAATAATTTCAGGGTCACAGTGACCTCATTTAATAAATACTTCAGGTTTGTGACCTTTGTTTCTGTCATCCATCACCAGGTAAGAAACAGGTGTACAACAGACAGACAACTAAGTGGAAAGCCTCAATGAAACAACACAGTGAAAAATACACGCCAGGTCAACATTAACTCTAATTCGAATTCAATGAAAAGAACAAATGTTGGACAAAACAAAGCTGCACAGATAGAGATTAAAGGGACCAAATTGTTAGATTTCGTTTTCCCCCCATGCGTCTGATTTCGGACAAGCGATGTAATACTATTCACAAAGTTCTACCACTTTTTGAGGAAAATTTGTAAAAGTAATCAGCTTCAAACTAGCTCTGGTCGATACTCGCTGTTGTGTCTTCTGCCATTCGTTCTTTTAACCGGAGATAGCCGAGTTCATTACGTTACGGTTTGTGTTCCTCGCTCACTAGCCTTGACGGTGTGTGTTCCTCGCTCACCAGCCTTGACGGTGTGTGTTCCTCGCTCACCAGCCTTGACGGTGTGTGTTCCTCGCTCACCAGCCTTGACGGTGTGTGTTCCTCGCTCACCAGCCTTGACGGTGTGTGTTCCTCGCTCACCAGTCTTGACGGTGTGTGTTCCTCGCTCACCAGCCTTGACGGTGTGTGTTCCTCGCTCACCAGCCTTGACGGTGTGTGTTCCTCGCTCACCAGCCTTGACAGTGTGTGTTCCTCGCTCATTACCCATGACGATGTGTGTTTCTCAGGAAGCTAAGAAAGAGACCTTTGCGGGCTGTCTCGATTGTGTCCTTGGACGAGATACAATTTGTTCTAGATGACGTCTGACAGGCTATATGTATGGTTTTAATTGAGGTAGCCACCGGCTTCTAAAAGGAGCTTCAAAGTGACTGTGGCTGTTCCCAAAATACCAACACATATCATTACTTTTTGGCACTTTAGGATTATGGAAACGATCAAAAGGGCATGTATTCAACATCTAAATATAACGTGTGGTGTCTTGGTTGATTAAATGGTTCTATTGATATTTTTGTAACTACACTATCCACTTCATCTTTATGGATTCAAGATTTAGAAAGAACCGTCGAGACAACATGGAATCTATTTGCTTGAGTATACAAAGTATCTTGAAATGTACCTGGTGTTCCCGATAACATTTGGACCATCCCCAAGGCGACGCAACCTCGTTTTGAAATGTGTGCTGTAAGCTGTTTAGATTATGTCGAACATTTTGCTGACACCTGATAAATGTAACATGATACATAACGGAGAATAATTCGATTGTAATCGGGGAAATTTCTACAGCAATGGACGGTACTGGTGTCAGTGGAAACAGGTTTAGCTGATAACAGCAGGGCAGCCTATTTACTTCATCCGAAGTGACATCTATCGGTAAAAACCGGCCGCAGTTATACACAATGAATGTCCCGACCTTAGAAGTACACCATATCGAAGAAGATATATAAAAGTATTTACCTAAAAAAGAAGGGTTTTTATAGACAGTAATCTGACAAGGGAAATATTAAATGTCTAAAGGTCTCGAATGTCGGGATTTCAATATGTTTATATGTCGAATGTCGGGATTACAATTTGTTACTATGTCGAATGTCGGGATTTCAGTATGTTTATATGTCGAATGTCGGGATTACAATTTGTTACTATGTCGAATGTCGGGATTTCAAAATGTTTATATGTCGAAAGTCGGGATTACAATTTGTTACTATGTCGAATGTCGGGATTTCAGTATGTTTATATGTCGAATGTCGGGATTTTAGTATGTTTATATGTCAAATGTCGGGATTTCAATTTGTTACTATGTCGAATGTCGGGATTTCAGTATGTTTATATGTCGAATGTCGGGATTACAATTTGTTTCTATGTCGAATGTCGGGATTTCAATATGTTTATATGTCGAATGTCGGGATTACAATTTGTTACTATGTCGAATGTCGGGATTTTAGTATGTTTATATGTCGTATGTCGGGATTTCAATTTGTTACTATGTCGAATGTTGGGATTTCAATATGTTTATTTGTCGTATGTTGGGATTTCAATGTGTCCCCACTAACATCCTCAACACCTTCCCCAACAGTCCCTATCACAATTCCTAACAAAGTTCCCAACACAATCTCAAACACAATCCCCAACACAGTTTCCAACACCATCCCCAACACAATCACCAACACTATCCCGTACACCATCCCCAACACCATCTTTAACACAATCCCCAACACCATCTCCAACACAGCCCCCAACACCATCTCCAACACAGTCCCCAACACCATCTCCAACACCATCCCGTACACAATCCCAAACACCATCCTCAACACAGCTCCCAACACCATCTCCAACACAATCCCCAACACTATCCCCAACACCATCCCAAACATCATCTCCAACACAATCTCCAACACAATCCCAAACACCATCCCCAATACCGTCTCTAACACCATCTCCAACACAATCCCCAACACCATCCCCAACACAATTCCCAACACCATCCCCAACACCATCTCCAACACCATTACCAACACCATCTCCAACACAATTCCCAACACCATCCCCAACACCATCTTCAACATTATCCCAAACACCATCACCAACACCATCCCTAACACCGTCCCCAACACCATCCCCAACACCACCCCCAACACCATCCCCAAAATAATTCCCAACACCATCCCCAACACCATCCCTAACACCATTTCCAACAAAATCGCCAACACAATCCCCAACACAATTCCCAACACCATCCCCAACACCATCCCCACCAGAATCTCCAATACCATCCCCAACACCATCCCCAACACCATCTACAATACCATCCCCAACACCATCCTCAACACCATCTCACACACCATCCCTAACACAATCCCTTACACAATCTCCAACACCATCCCCAACACAATCCCCAACACAATACCCAACACCATCCCCAACATTATCTCCAACACCATCCCCAACACCATTCTGAAAACAATCTTCAACACCATCCCAAACATCATCCCCAACACCATCTCCAACACCATCCCCAACACCATCCCCAACACCATCTTTAACACCATCCCCAACACCATCCCAAACATCATTATCAACACAATCTCCAACACCATCCCCAACACCATCCCCAACACCATTTACAACACCATCCCAAACACCATCCCGAACACCATCTCCAACACCATCCCCAACAACATCCCAAACACCATCATCAACACAATCTCCAACACCATCCCCAACACCATCTCCAACACCATTTACAACATCATTTACAACACCATCCCCAACACAGTCCTCAACACCATCCCCAACACCATATCCAACACCATCTCCAACACCATCTCCAACACCATCCCAAACACCATCATCAACACAATCTCCAACACCATCCCCAACACCATCTCCAACACCATTTCCAACACCATCCCCAACACCATCCCCAACACCATCCCCAAAATAATTCCCAACACCATCCCCAACACCATCCCTAACACCATCTCCAACAAAATCGCCAACACAATCCCCAACAAAATTCCCAACACCATCCCCAACACCATCCCCACCAGAATCTCCAACACCATCCCCAACACCATTTACAATACCATCCCCAACACCATCCTCAACACCATCTCACACACCATCCCTAACACAATCCCTTACACAATCTCCAACACCATCCCCAACACAATCCCCAACACAATACCCAACACCATCCCCAACACCATCCCCAACATTATCTCCAACACCATCCCCAACACCATTCTGAAAACAATCTTCAACACCATCCCAAACACCATCCCCAACACCATCTCCAACACCATCCCCAACACCATCCCCAACACCATCCTCAAAACAATTTCCAACACCATCCCAAACACCATCCCCAACACCATCTTTAACACCATCCCCAACACCATCCCAAACACCATCATCAACACAATCTCCAACACCATCCCCAACACCATCTCCAACACCATCCCAAACACCATTTACAACACCATCCCAAACACCATCCCGAACACCATCTCCAACACAATCCCCAACAACATCCCAAACACCATCATCAACACAATTTCCAACACCATCATCAACACAATCTCCAACACCATCCCCAACACCATTTCCAACACCATCTCCAACACAATCCCCAACATCATCCCCAACACAATCTCCAACACCATCCCAAACACCATCTCCAACACCATCCCCAACACCATCCCCAACATTATCTCCAACACCATCCCCAACACCATTCTGAAAACAATCTTCAACACCATCCCAAACACCATCCCCAACACCATCCCCAACGCCATCCTCAAAACAATCTCCAACACCATCCCAAACACCATCCCCAACACCATCCCAAACACCATCCCCAACACCATCCCAAACACCATCCCAAACACCATCATCAACACAATCTCCAACACCATCCCCAACACCATCCCAAACACCATCTCCAACACCATCTCCAACACCATCCCAAACACAATCCCCAACACCATCCCCAACACAATCTCCAACACCATCCCAAACACCATTTCCAACACCAACCCCAACACCATCCCCAACACCATCCCCAACAACATCCCCAACACCATCTCCAACACCATCTCCAACACTATCCCCAACACCATCCCCAACAACATCCCCAACACCATCTCCAACACCATCTCCAACACTATCCCCAACACCATCCCCTAATAATCAAAGTTGTTTCCTCAGTAAGGAATCAAAATTCAGTATCTTTAACATCAAAATATAAGACTTGTTATGCATAAGGATTTAGTCAAATGTGAATCGGTGGCGGTTTAAAAAATCGTGTTCATACAAAATATACACGCTAATTTGGAACTACCTCCTTTTATCCCTCTTCCTGTCTAATTTCATGACAGCGATGTGTAATAAGATCGAACACGGTGATGGTAAAAGATTAACGAGGGATATTGATTTAAACTACCACCAGGGTCGTTCGGTGCAGTTATTCTTTGTGGGGGTACAGAAAAGTGAACAGCTGGTAGGCTGCTTACAAAGCACGCGAGATAAGGAGTTAGAACCCCGTGTGAGATAAAAAGAAGAATATGGTATATTGTTTAAAAACATCGATGGGTGAAAAGATTTTCTCACCACAAAATTCCCGTTTGTGGTATTTGAAAAAAAAAAAGATTTCTGGCGACGAACATGTACACGTTATCAATAACATGACTTGTGGTACCTATTCTAAAAATACAAAAAAAAAAAAAAAAAATGACAAAGTGAGAAATTAAATAGAGAGAACGGAACTGGCGGTAAATGAGTAAGAATGAAAAAAAGAGATAAAAGGAGAAAAATCAAACTAATGAATCTACTTCAGATCAAACGCAACATCAAATGTAATTGCGCCATATTAAATAAATACGGTTGACATGTACATTGTAAAAATACCTATATTGTGCCATATACTACACACACAAAGGTCCATATGAAATTATTCTTACGCGTAATAACATCGAACGAACGATGGCACTATAATCCTTGAAAAAATATTGATATCACTCTTCACTGATCAAAGAGACATAGTGACGTATGTTTCAATAACTTATATGTGTCATTATATATAAATAAGTGAAAAATACATAGGCAAACTTCGTGGAAATATACGTCCTCTGTCTACCATGAAACCCAACACAGAGACCGTTTGTTTGAATGACGTATAAACACAACCCAGTCGATCACTCAACCGATGAAATATTACGTCAAACATGAAAAAATGACAGCAGAAAACAGCAATGTCTATTGTTAACAATTTAAAAAGATATTTAAAAAATTAAATCAGTTTTACACTCATAAAAAACATCCGTCTTTGTGTGGGTACAACTGTTCATGGCGATAATCTACTATCTCTAAAGGATGCCTTAATAATATTTTTATGGCACGAGGCGTGAAATGGACGTGCATAACCAGACAGGCACGTTAACAGACAGATCGTTGTTATTGGCGAGTCTATAGTGAGGAAGACAGACCAAGAACAGATGGTGACCGCACGATAACTCAGTAAATGGCTCGCTTGTCCAATCTTATAAATCCTCGGCTTGTGTTTATGGACAAGTAAGTGCGCGTGTGTGGACGTGCATTAATCTGTTTGCTTCTGTTGTATATAGCAGTTGTACCATGATTCCGCAAAGTTATCAAACACCGATAGGTACAATTCTCTGTTTTTATGCTATGAAAGGTTTTTACATATTAACCACTTAAAATATGTTATTTGTCGGATTTTTCATTCGTGTTTATTTTCCTTACTTTGGCATGTTTTGGCAGGATTGCAGCCTGTCTGTAATGCGGTTGGGATTGATTTGAAGAAAATTTTAATTAAACGAAACATTCCACTGGTGTTGAAAAAAGGATACCTTATTAAAATTTATGTCAGATAAAAAAATAAATAAAAAAATGACGTCTTAAATTATTATTTTGTTAACTTAGCCAAGATAGATATAAGAATATAAGCCGTGTTTACTGACACGAGTGAACCGCCGGGCTCGTTAGGGGAAACTCTGTGTGGTCTGTCTGTACAGTTATAATCCCGTTTGACGACTTCAGAGAGCATCTCATTATAGTCTATAGAGCTGGGATTGATCAAACTGTATTCTGTCTTCATCGGATCATTTTATATATAAACTTGTGCATTTATTGCCAACAAAATGTACCTTGTTGTTTAACGTATGGCTAGGTTTGTCCCTATTGTTAGGCCTAGAACCCCATATTTAAACATAAATCGTGACTAATTGTGAACTCTTTAGTTTGAACTAAGGGAGATAATCATACACAAGTTTCGATAGCTTGTAGGAAGTCTAGACGTAAGATGTCTGACAACTCGAATGTATGCACTGCGAACACAAAATATATTTGTCGTTGGAAGTTTTCATGACAAATCATTCTGCTGTGGACCCTAATTGAAATTCTCTCTGTCCTACTTGATAATTTATTCCGTGTCTTTTTGAACGGTATTTCGCAACCGTTGTGGTATACCTAATTGTATGAATTACATTTTTAAAAATTCCTTGAATACAAGTACGTAGACTAAAGGAATCACATCTATTCAAATCACAACATAATGTTTGCTTCTGTTATTTAACACAGCGTTCATCAAGTCGGCGTAGCTTTAAAAAATGTCAGTGTATGGCTTAACACATATCGTTAAATGTCCCTAATTGTTTAACTGACCTATAACATAATGTTTAACTTCGCAAGGTCATACCTGAAACAAAGTCTATAAATACCAGCCCACACATGACCATTATGACATCGTTATTGTGTGTACAGAAATGATGACATTTTCCGTTCAAAATGGCTGCTCTACTTAACGGATTACGCTGTCGATAATGGATATGGCTGTAAACTTAACGGATTATACTGTCGATAATGAATACTGCTGTTCAACATAACGGATCATACTGTCGATAATGAATACGACTATTCAACTTAACGGATTACACTGTCGATAATGAATATGGCTGTTCAACTTAACAGGTTACGCTGTCGATAACGAATAGTTCTAGTTCACTGGTATAAAACTAAGAAGAAGACTGTCAAGGAATTCATGGTGATATAAATGACAGAGCTTCGACAGGAAAACATCATTGCTTAATAATCCTCCAACCCTCTCTATGACGTAATCCATCAACCATACACTGTGATGTAATTCACTAACCCTACACTGTAACGTAATTCACTAACCCTACACTGTGATGTAATTCACTAACCCTACACTGTGATGTAAATCACTAACCCTACACTGTGACGTAATTCACTAACCCTACATTGTAACGTAATTCACTAACCCTACACCGTGACGTCATTCACTAACTATACACTGTAACGTAATTCACTAACCCTACACTGTGACGTAATTCACTTACCCTACACTGTGACGTAATTCACTAACCCTACGCTGTGACGTAATTCACTAACCCTACACTGTGACGTTATTCACTATCCCCACAATGTAACGTAATTCACTAACCCTATCTTGTGACGTAATACACTAACCATACACTGTGACGTAATTCACTAACCCTACTGAGACGTAATCGAACAACCCTACGGTGTGACGTAACAATTAGTTCATAATTAGGCTAATCCACATAAGCCAATGCATACCAGATCAGAAGAACTGCCAATATACACTAGATTAGTGTTAATTACTATAATTAAATCAGCTCATTTATGGTATATATAGGTACACTTACAAATAATTCCTATACCTTGCAAAGGTGTACAACCACAGTGGGATCGATCCGACTTTATCAAATATTTATAAAAGGTGAAGGGTTAAGATAAGCCAGTAACTACTAATCAGAGAGATCTGTCTTCATCATCAACCAACCTGATTACACAAAGACTTCTCTCTGTAAGGGGAAATAACTCGGTTCCTTGCAAAAAAAAATCAGGCAAACGTATGACCCGAAGAAAACAAACCTGCATCATTAATTCGCGAAGTAATAGCCATGCTTACATGAAGCCTAAATACACTATACCAGACCATAGCCTACTGCGGATATTCGGATTCTGTTTCCAGAATGAAGATTTCCAGAAACACCACGGATGGGATTTGCACCGACATTTTTACTCTAGAAGATAATACAATTACTTCATTTGATTTAACGATCTACCATGTACATATATATATTGTATAGGTTTTTTTTATTTATATCTACAGTTAGTCGGGACCCCGGCATTGGCTGTACTTGTCGAAACGCAATTAGAAACGGAAATTGAGATAAGAAAATTATGACATATTAGAAATATTTCGTTTATCTGCTTCCGGTATTTATCGAAATTATACGTGTACTAGATATGGATGAGGAAACTGAAGGACAGTCATCATGCACCAAGGTCAATGTAAGCTCCACTATCACGGACCGGAGCGAAGCTTTTGTTGAGAAAAAAATCGAACTTTACCTACGAAAAAGACGTACATGAAACCAAAGTTTGTTTCACCTAATATATGAAGCAATTTTTCTTAAATTTCGAGGAAATTTACAATATTTGTATACCACTACCCACGCTCGTAGTCTATGTATACTGATAACCTCTGCCAATCCATGCAGTCTTCAACTGCATTGTAATTATGTGACAATGCTGGAGATAATTGCACCAAATCGCCTTTGTGACACACCAGGTCGTGTATGATTTAAACAAATAATTAATATTCCTGTTATTGATCTGGTGACGATTTCTTCCACTATTATTGTAAAACGACTGCATACGACTGAAAAAGTGTCTTCCACAGGGTTTCGTTTGTTGTCAGTTTTTTTTTTTTTTTTTATTATTATTATTAGTTTGTTTTTTTTTATATATTTGTTGTCTTGTTTTTTGTTTATTTATTTATATATTTCATGTTAGCAATTTACCTCACTGGAAAATATTACGTTATTAATTACGTACAAGTATCGATCCGAAGCTTATCCGTGATAAAAATCCGTCGTCGGATTTACATATTTACCCCTAGTGACGCCATCTTTGATTTCCACCGATAACTTGCTTGAGGTCTCATCAAATGACAACAACACAGATTTGCGTAAGAGAACCACATGTTTGGTACAGAGGCTGACACACCCATATATACACGTGATCTTCAATACGGGTGTGATTCATTGATATGATTTAATTCCATACTGTACTTATACTAATAGTCTACACATTCTGAAACGAAAAATGACATTTAAGTAAAAGATTGTCAGAATAGCAGTAAAAATTCGTTGTTTATGTCTGCAGTTATCGGACATATTTTCTTTCATTTCGGCTTTTCACCAAAAAGCAGAAACGTCGTTGGCCTTGACGTCATCGACAAAACCAACAACGAAAATTCCGGCATGTCAAGGTAATCTTAACATAAACTCAAATTTGATGAAACTATTACAAAATATGGGTTTTGGAAAGAGATCCATGTAAAAGAACAAAGAGAATAAGACCGGGTGTTCCGGAAGGGTAAACGTCTTCTGCTTCATCGGCGAGACATGTATTTTTGGTCAACCTAGATCAGCAATGTGATATCTTTGATTAAGAACACGATATACAACAACGGAACCACCATGCAAAATAATAAGCATCAAACACGCCCAACATCATATCTAATTATCTACCATTTATTAACGGGATCGTGTGATTTTATTGTGTGGACTCATGATTTAAAAGCATTGTACAATTATCCTGTCTGTTAAAAAAATTGACACGTGAAACATATTTGCGATGTTTAATTTCATATTTTGATTTCGAAATTCAAATGTGACAATGAATAAAAAAGATTCAAATGGTTTATCGACGTGGGCAATTGTTATCTTTAAATATTGAACTAAAATCTACAAAAGTTATCCTAAGATAAATGTATTAAATAATAGACATTATTAATTGATGAATAATAATATTGATGATTGATAACTATTTCGATGTATTTGTAAACAGATTTTTGTTTGTTTGTGATGACACAGATAGTTGTAAGTGATTTCTTTAGATGTTTATAGATAATCTATCTGAGAATGTGTGTCACTCCCAGTCAGATTTAAGGCCATTTGTTTAAAAGTCGGCCCGCCGGTTATAACCTACAAATATATACCCGATCAGTGATCGATCTGTGATCGATCTCTCTCATTAGAGAAGGAACACGAGACAATTCTTAAACGGAGATCTGTCAACTTGTATCTATATCGAAAAACGACAGCTTATATACTAAATATTTTTCTTACACTTTTTAAATATTTTTAACATGAATATTAGTAATCTTTTCTTACATGAATCACGAATTTATCAAAATAAAGATAAAATAATATTTAAAGATCCACTTTCATCTGTCCGAGAAAAGCCTGTCTACACAGTTGAATTCACACTCTGTAACGTGATAGATAGCCCGCTAATATTATCTTTATCTAATAGATAGCCAATTAAAGACCGCCCGGGGTAAACAAAACAAATTAACACTATCCCGCCTGGTCCATTCCGCGCCATCATATGATATAACGTTATCGATTGCTAGTCTTTCCCATCGGGCGGGCGCCCTCCCATTAGACCGGTAAATCCGTTATAACCTGTCCACACAATATTAATGATGAACACTATAAATACATTGGACACAATAGGCCTGATACGATGTTATGGCTAAAGGGATGATTAAGCTCTATGTCCGTATAAGGTCATTCCTAGCTATTAGACATTTATAAACAGACATCTGCATCTGTCCGTGTGCATGTTATTGACCGAAGCCATTATCTCGAGACAAATAAAAGAAAACGCCATAAGGCGTGGGCTTCGTTATCAATGGTCATAATTGCGTGTTTTATGACCAATATGTCCCTATTTGGGCTCTTGTCCAATCATAACGTTGAACTGTGTAAATAAGACTTATTGTGAACATGTCGGACACGATAACACAAAACATTACTGATATTGTACATTATTAATCATTTTAAGAATTAAGTTCCTCGACCTTTTTCATCCTTCTGTAAACAACAATCATTGCTTTTTATACCTAATTGTCGTTGTCGCCACCATAATCGTCATCTTAGTGCCACATTTTTCGTCGAATCTAGTATACTGTATATTGTTTTCCGAGAACAATGTCGAAATCCCAAAATACAAATGTAACAATTTTAATCTATCCAATGATGAATCAATATTACTAGTTACTACTGACTTACTTTATACAAAGACCATCATAGTTCTCTGAAGTTCATTACATTTGTAATTACACCAAAAGCAAAACGCATGATAACAACTTCGTCTTGTTATGTAAAAAAATTATCGCGTAAGAATTGTTCTCAAGTCAATAAAAAAACTACGAAATTATGCATTTTCATCGAAACCTTCAGTCTTGATTACAGCGATTTTAACCATTAACGCAAATTTGGATGGAACAGGAGACGCTTACTTTTCTGAAACACCTGGTCATGTTTATATATTTCCTTTGTTGTGTCGATTTTTAGTTTACATATATGTAGTATAATGTTATTCTTAACTTTGATTTGTCAAAGTTAAAAAGATTGAGCAAATCAGTTGTTTCAAAAATGTGTGAAATTAAATTTATCTGTGTTTAGGTGAAACAAGTCGTGTTCTTACTGCAACTACGTAGTAGCCGAGAAAACTGGTCGTTTACACATGATTAAGAGGACGTTTTGGTGCTTGTATATAGAATGAAAATATCAGTTTATGATTTTAAGTGCCAAAGAATTTGCAGCTGTGTTATTTTTCCTGGCTCTGTACAACATATACAGTTTGTATGTAACATATACGAATTATAATCGTTACTATGAGATCGTGTACTCATTTAAATTGCGTTCCTGCACAATGTAACACGATGGTAGAAATATGTGACACTTTTCAAAACATAAGATGTCCATTCCATGCTTGTTTCTAATTAGAGGTTGCACTTCACAAGTACAGAAGCGCTAAATATATCCACACATTACGGCTGTAGGTTCGACTAGTACGAGTGTTGATGAGCGAGATTCTAATGAAGAAACCATACTGACGGTAGACAGAAACAGATAAATCTGACTGACGTCTTACCAGCTAACCAGCTTTCAACTCAATATTCCAGTATGGCAATTAAAATTAGATTTGGAGTTTGAAATTATGTATTACTTTTGGCTTTTTGGGGGGTTATTTTTAGGCGGGGTTGGGGGTGGGGGATGGGGGTGGTGGGGATAGGTATGTAATTTAGACACTTTATATTTAGAAGCAGGCATATATATGACATGATTTTACCTACCGTGTACTTTTAACTGTGATAGACGATATAAACCATTGTTGGTCCACATCGTCAGTCACGTCTATCGCAATAATATGTAATGAGAGACAAAAACGAAGGAAAGTAACTCTGGAAGATCAGAATGTTATATACCGACCTTTAGCAATTTGATAATGTAATTAAACAGTTGTATAATGTTTTGGGACGTTAGATGTACACAGGTCCAGAACAATGGGTTGTGCCGCTATAGCACTACAGGGTACATACATTGGTCGTTCTTTCGGAAACCGAGCAGTAAATGCATTGTTTGCTGCCTTGGATGATCCAAGGACATGCGTAGGGCAGTGTCTTTGTCGGAAAGATTAGAACCACACAGGACTCGTGTATCGGATGATGCCCTTCAAGGGTCACCGAGGTAAAACATAGGCGAAAGGATGTGTGTATACAGAGTCACTTATAAACGTTGTAGTGGCTTAATTCACTTAATTCACCTGCATAATCCATATTAATGCGTGCAAGGCATTCATGCCAAACACGTATAGAAACAATGGGTATACGTATGTATATAAATTGCCATATAATATTGTTTTCTACAAGATCAAACGTAATTTTTTTATTGATATATTCAACATGATCCGATGTTTTATTGTTCTGTAGATGTGTGATGATTGTTAAAGATCCCTTAATTTCTAATGTCCACGTAGCAGAAATTATTTGTTTTTTTTTCTTCTGTTGAACGAAATTCACCAAAAATATTCTTGTCAACA